CATTGAATCACTTTAGGACAGTTCAACTTGGAGGAGTACAAGGCATAAATCTCGAATTGCAGCTTATCAAGTTTCTACCGACCAAATCTCTGATGCTGGTGAGAATGCCTTGTGCTCCTCCAAGTTAGTTGAACTGTCCTAAAGTGATTCAATTATGATGCAACAAAATAGGCAAAGCTAATGTGGTTATATCTGATGCCTATAAATATTATCGAGACACGACTCTATAATATTCGTTTATTTTTTGTCTGATCGATAAAATTTGAATTTTTTGTTTGTAATCATAAGGATTTACATTTCATTTCTTTTTCTTGAATAATTTATAAAATAAAATCTGGATATGAACTTACATACAATTTGGTGATTTATTTTCAAAGAAAAAAAATGAACCCTTCTTTTTAGTAAAAAAAAATATGGTGAAAGTGTAGTAAATAGGACAAGCAACTTCTCTGTTTATTGCCTTTTTAATTAGTAAATATATATGTAAAATATTAACTTTAATACAGTTCGACTTGTTACGTACTCTAAAATACATTCTCGTATTCTTTCTTTGTTTTTCTTCATAATAAAAATAAATTTTTTGAATAATAAGAATTGAATCAAAATCTAAAGTGTCGATACAAACTTTATATCATTAAACTTTATATGTGAATAACACTATAAAATGAATAAAATTTGCATTTATTATGATATTTAAATATTTCAAAACATTATAGTTAAATAATGTTTATTTAATCGTTTAACTGTTCTTTTATACTGAAAACTTTTAGTATGTCAATTTTTGATTTTATATGATATTACTTTTGTATTTGGCCTAAAAAAAATTGTAGTTGAATAAAATATACATTTATTTCTAAGTAGTCTCGTTAGATTAGATATAGAACCTTCAAGTAAAAATAAATTTGAGTGATATATTTTAGGGTATATATAATTGTGTTAACATTTCAAAAGTATTTGCACATTCTTAGCAGAATTACTCAATTTATAAAATTTAGCCTTTAAAACAAATTTCCTTATCTAGTCTGTATTTAATCCCCCAACCAATGAAAAATTAGGTAACAAATATAATTGTTCAACATTTTTCTTATATCTTTTATCTCATTATCATAGGATGATTTTGTCCACCACCATAAATGATGATTTTATTGGTGATAATAATTTCTTTTCTCTCATTTGTCCCCCTTTCTCTAGGCAAACGATAAAAATCACATATAAGTTTATAATTACATAAATCTTTTATATTGATATAAAAATATAATTGTTGATATATTAATCTGATCGTTAAGTAAGATATATTAATTTTATACATCATACACTAATCTGATGTACATTTTATATATGATACACTAATCTGATACGTGAGATATATTAATCTGATGCGTGAAAATAAGAAATTTGAAAATTTATAAAACTAATATGAGATAATGGTAATAAGAAAACTTCAAGATGGAATTTCTATCATTTATTCTTATTTTTATTCGGCACTTAATATTTTGTACGATTAATAAATATTTTATTATAGTATCTATATTAATTGATATATATATATATATATATATATATATATAAAATCTTATATCCTAGCAAATAATTTGAGGGGTATAAGTAATTAATATTAAAGATAAAATATGAAAGGAAAAAAAATCTCTATTCTTGATTTGTTAAATATATAAGCTTGGAAACTGTCTTATTCTGTCAAAAGGCAATTTTACTTAATGGGAATAACTTGCACGTGAGGATAAGAAAAGTTAGATATTATTCTCTTCCATTCAAATAAGTGAATTTAGCATTTTTTTTTATCTAAAATAAATGAATTTCTTAAAATTGATTGTTTTTTTATCTTTATACGCTTATTAAGAAATTATAAATAAAAAAATATTTTAACTAATTCATCCTTTAAAAAACCTTCTTAAAAATTTTACAAATAGATGGGTACAACTTCAAATTTACTTTTCTCGCTAAAAATTTTGTAAAGAAAAAAACAAAAAATTTCATAAATACATATTTTATTTTGTCATAATTTCGAAAAGACTAAAAATTTTTATCATTTAAAATAATTATAAAAATCTCTCTCTAATGCATTCTTATTTTCTCTCGGATACATTCCTTCACTCTCGAATACATTTCTATTATTTATCGGATACATCTCTCCCCTTTCAGATACATCACCCCTCTTGAATACTTCCCTCTCATTAAGTAATCTATCACTCACTATTCGTGAGCTATGAATCCACACATTTACTGATGCATTCGAGAACTATAAATTTAACGATATTTGTAATTCAAAAAAAATAAAAATATAATGTAATTAGCTTTTAATACTATTAGATCTCTGTAATTTTAAAAATCTTAACGCACTGACTGTTTCTACTTCTTAAAAAACATTTGAAAAAAATGAGTAGATAATATTATCAAATAATTTGTGATTTACATATGAATAAAGTGTAAATCACAAAAAAAAAGTGTAAATCACAAAAAAAAAAAAAAAGCACATACATTAACAGTGCAATGACAAATTACTCCATAAAATGGAACAGAGATAGTAAATGCCACGTACATTTAATTACACCCTATACTAAAACACTATAAGGTAGTGTCATAATTTATACATTAAATACATAAGAATTATATTTGAATATGAAAAACGTGGGAGTCAACTACAGTAAGTATAAAAGCGTCGAAAATAAATTCAATAAGATTATAAAAAATATATTATAATAACGATCTTCATTTTCGATTTAGTAGTGTTTTAATTAGATTGAGACATTGTGCATGTTAGTCATTTTTACATGTCAAATCAGCTCTTTAGGCAATTAATATTTGATCACTAATAAATAATAATGTGTTAGAAAAATTAATACACTGGTCCACATCTTCTTCCTTTGCTATTAATTTTGCTTGAAATAAACAAGCAAAACCAGCTAGCTAGGTCCAAGTGCTTCATGGCTAAGAAAGTTATTAAATACCTAACAGGGATCGGATCGTTTGATAATGTGTATGAAAATAAAGTTAAACAGAGTAAATAAATTATATCGATATTAATAATATTGATATCAATTATATTTAAATTATTTTTTATACATTATTTAATTGGGAGAATAAAAATAATATGTATTGTATAATCTTTTTTTAAAAAAATTATTTGTTTATAGAAATATTCTCATAAATATATTGAAAAGGACGTGAAAAAAAAGGCATTATGTTTCTGTAATAGCTATGCATTAAGAATCTTTGATTTCCTAATACTATAATTTTTCAAGTATTAGTTATACATATAATGATACCAAACAGTGTTGGAGATATAAAGGGGTAAATATCAAAAGCTTATAAATTGTAAATTATATGATTGATAAATACAACGACAAAATTAATACTAAAAATCAAAATATTATTATATCAAAACTAATATAAAGAAAAACATCGAAATTGTAGAGAGAAAAATCTCTCATAACTCTTAAGCGACTATATTGTGGATTCTATTGTTCTATTGCTTATATTTATAAAGTACTAAAATCTTTCCTATTAGAAAAGAAATATTTATTCTAAAACATTTCCCTACTCCAAAATATTTTCCTAAAAAGAAAAAATAAATCAAATATGAGAAAATATTATATTTTCCTTTCAAAAAAAGTAAAAATATTTATGATGATAATTTGTCTTTTCTTTAAGGAAAAATAAATCTTAAATTATGATAAGAAAATCAGGATAAAATCCTAACAAATAGAGTATTTAATTTTATATTAGTTATACATAAATTAAAAAAGCAAAACCAAACAAAGTGTTATAGAAGGATAAAAAATCATTGATTTCGAAATCAATTTAAAAATAAATATATCGAATAGCATTACATGATAACTTATCTTGCTCATAGTTATTTCTAAATTATAATTTTCTAAATTATAATGTTATTTATATCTCGTATCAAAAATAAAATAATAATTCTAAAATAATTAATTCCGACATAATCTAATCATAAAAAAACAAAGATTCTTACGCAGGCAATGTTCCATTTTGTTAATAATATTAAATTCCTAGTGTACCAATATTCATCATAGTTTTTTCATAAATCCACTGCTATCTTTTTTTCTTCAAAAAGTCTGTGTTGTTACTTCACTGTCATGGCTAGGCTCATAATTGAGTTGTTATTTGGAACAAGGAAATTTACAAAAAAATTAGAAGAAGTAATAAGGCTAAATGGTCAGAAAATTTAGTTAAAAAATTATAATATTTTTTTTATTTTAGTAAACTGATTTTTTTAATTTTTATTTTTGTATTAAAATTAAAAGAGTAAAAATATTTTAAAATATAAAATAACATAGATGATATATCATTCTGATCAAAAAGATTTTTCCTAGCAATTACTCTCTCTGTCCCATTTTTACTTTGCACTTGTATTAAGAAATGATATAACCTTATCCTTTTACCCTTATTTAATTTTTTTTGGAACTCTAGTTTTCAATCAATGAATATGAATTAATTTATTTTGACTAATTAATTTAACCAATGAACATGAATCATTTACTTATCTTTTCTAACGTGGTCAAATGCATATTTTCAAGGCTAATAATTCATAAGGGTGAAAAAGAAACAATATAATAATTTATACATTGATTCTACAATATGACAAATATTATCAACCAACTATTTATAGAAAATGATAACATATAAAATAAGACGGAGGAAGTATTAATAATGCTGTAGAAATTAGATAATTATTTGATGGTTACAAGAAAGTCCCAAACTTGACTAACGACACCTAGTAGCTGTAATATGAAATAATAGAATTTAGGTTTATGATGTGTGGCCAATATTTTGGTATTCCCAGCCAACAAATGTATTCTAGTGACTTGTTTGTATCCCATGATAGAATTCTTTGTTTACACCATTCCATTTTGTGTAAAGAGACAAATATATATATATATATATATATATATATATATATATATATATATATATATATATATATCCCAGCCAACAAATGTATTCTAGTGACTTGTTTGTATCCCATAATAGAATTCTTTGTTTACACCATCCATTTTGTGTAAAGAGACAAAATGGATACATGTGTATGTATATGATGGAATAGATACACGTGTGGTAGGTATACACAAGTCAAAATAGATGTAATTTGTTCTAGATATATTTTATCCAGACGTGATTCACAAGTATTTACAATACACTAACTCTATATCTTGTTTCTCTCCTCTATGACTAGCCTATCTCTCACTCCTCTTTCTCTCTCTCTCTCTCTCTCTCTCTCACACACACACACACACACATATATATATATACACATGTATCTAGTATCAAAATATACATTAATACATTCATTAGTGTATTCATAGATAGTTTTCTCAAATTCGGGATCATAAGGAAGCAATGTGGCTCCTTTACTTCCAGTGTTTGGCATACACAAGTGAACTTACCTGAAAGAGACACAAACACAAAACAAAATGTAAAATTAGAAAATGTAACTACTACTCAAATAAACGCTTGTCACATGTATATGATATTACAATTCACAACAATATACATCATCACCGAGCAGAAAAAAGAGAGAGAGAGAAAGAGGATAGAGGGAGAGAGTCAACTAGAGAAAGGGGAAGGGATGTTGAGAGATTATGTAATTATTTATAACATATAGTGGGATTTTGTAGATTTGACAAGGGTATTTTGTGTATTTTATGTGTAATGGATTGATTCGATACAATCTACTTTTCACATTTTTTATTCTATTACAACGTTTGTTTTTCCTCGTTTAGGTTTTGGACTCTCTAGGGAGAACCAACTTCATATGACAAAATAATCTTTTATGATCACTGAAACATTGAATGAAAGAAAATAATCTTTTCAATTCTCTTACACGTAAAAGTTAAAGTTTCTTTAAAAAGACAAAAAAATTAAAATCAATTTTTGGAGGGCTATGGTGACATTTCATTAGTAATCATCGATCCGAATAACGTGGAGAATGTGAAATCCCGTACAAGTTTATAAGGACAATATTATAAGGTGAAGTAGTAAAGAACCCTCGAAAGTGAAAGGGGTAACCCATCGATGGCCTCCTAAACTTGGCACAAATCTTTCACTTAGACACCTCAAGTGGAGGGTTTTCATTTTAAACACCTAACGTAGGGTCCCTATGTGTCACTTAAAAACACTTTTTGCACAGCTGGAGTGCCGCGTGAGTTTCACTGATACTAGGAGCGTAAACATGAAAATTTTGTCTGATGTGGAGTCCCCAACGGTAATATTACTCACATCATCTATTCATGATTTTATTCCAATTATACCCTAATTCAAATCCCAATTTCTCTCTTTTTTTCCAATTTCTTCCTTCTTTTTCGATTTCTCTCTTCTTCAGCCTTTCATGTGAAGCTTCTCCAATTCTTCCATGGATGAAGGTCGATATTGTAGGTGTTGTGATGACACATTATTAAAGACTTCATGAAACCCAATTAAATTCAGGGCGTAGATTTTTTACTTTTAGAATTTCAAAGGTAAAATTCTTGTTTCCCTTACTTTTGTCAGGTCAATTAGATGATTAATTCGTTTGTGTCAAATTCTTTTTGATTGGTTTTATAGAAAATGGGTGGTTGTGACTATTTTCTTTGGTATGAAGATCGACATCTTCCACAAGCAAACAAGGTAATGTGGGGATTGTTGAAGCAAGTCAATGCTTTTGATGAAAAGTTAAAGCGAGCAAGAAATATATTTATTGTTGGTTTTGTTCCTATTGGATTGCTTATGTTTGGAATATGGAAATTGAAGCCTAATTGTTAGTGTTCTTGAGATGTTCTTAAGGTGTTCGGTCTAGTACTATTTTGATGAGCCAAACAACATTCGATATAGTAGTATTTAGATGTTGTTGTTGCTGTGAATTTTTGATGTAATTGTGCTTTCTAATTTAATGAAATTCTAAGTTCTAGTAGTATTTTGATGTTGTTATTACTGTAAAATTTACTTTTGGCTACCATATAAAGTAGTATCAAAAGAAAATGCCCATGCTATAAACAATTATCGTATTCGTCAAAATGTAACTTCCAAATACACAATACTTAAACAGTTATAGTGAATGCTCCATAATGAGCTCAAAGGTAGCATTATGCTATATAATATTCAAGGCTACAACCCAAAAAAGTGTACCAAAATAAGGTCCCAAAATAAAGCTAGCATAAACAAAAGTTACATACAACCTTTACAAAAGTGTTTACTAGTACCAATCCAAGAATAGCATACTCCAATGACATACGACAACATATTAAGGGACCAAAATCAACCTATCCTTGTTGGTGTTACTTCTTCTTTTTGTTTGCCATTTGCTGCAATTGGGAAGAGGTGACATCAGCCTTGTTTTTCCATCTTAAGCCTCTAGGCTTAATGCCACTGTCTATACCCGTTAAACTTGCATCCTTGTAACTTAAACCTGTTAGTAGAATTTTTTGACTTAAAGTCCCAGGCTGTTTTTTGAAGAACAAATTAAATTTAAAATATAAACTTTCATTCATTTAAGAGACAATTAGACAAACTTACGTTTAATATTTCGGTTCCACTTGCACTTGTGTAGATGCCAAATTCAACATTACTTGCTCCACCTTTAGTTTGCCTCTTTGTTGCTCCTCTTGCATAATCTTCTCCAGTTCTAACATTTTCTTTTTTTTGTCCAGCAGTTTGTCTTGTCCTTGAAGGTAGTTGACTGGTTATTCCTCTTGTAACAGGAATACTTGTATCCCCAACTGGAGGTGGTTGATTTGTTTTTGCAGTTTCCTTTACCGTTTTAACTCTACTGGTATTACCACAAATTGTTGTTAAAGAAACACGATTGTTTGTTGTTATTGCCCCAGGTTGGTAGGAGCTTGTTTGTTCAGGGTGGCTACTTCCTTGTGAACTTTGACCAGCAGTAAATTGTGAATTATGGCTCGCTGGTTGTGAAGTATGGACACCAACCTTCTATTTCTTAGAGGTCTACAAGGCATTTGTTTAGGCTCAGGAGGCTCAATCCTGAATTATTAGTTTCAGGCCACATCTTCATATTTGAAATTGGTTGAATGAAATGACTATAAGCCTTTAAGAAGGTATCCTTCCTATACCAATGCTCCACAAGTGGTTCAGGTTCCTGTCCTATGTAGTACAAAGTAGAAATAGCATGTTGGCATGGAATGCCTCTCAACTGCCAAGTTCTACAGCTACAAACTCTATTAGTCAAGTTGACTGTATGCCTATACTGCCTTTCTCCAATCTCAAACCCAACATCAATATTCCAAATCACCTTGCATGCCCTAGAATTTTTCTTATTTGCCTCCAACATAAGTCTAGCCATAGGTTCAATATCACATATTCATGTGTCGGCAAACTTAACCATATCCACAGTTCTAGTCATTAATTTTATCCTAATTTCATCAAACATGGTTATTATAGATTTGTCTACAAGATAATATCCATGAGTTAAAAATTTCAGACATGTTATTTTCAACTGCATCACATTTAGAGTGCTCTTGAAAGAATGATCTAACCCATGACAATTTTGGATAATGTAATAAATCTTCATTAATATTTTCATTACTAAGTTTGCTCATTTTGTAAAGCTCTTCATTGTACTTCACTTCAAAAGTTGCCTTGGAACATCTCCAAAATTGTTTTCTCCTTTCCTCTCCTTCCCATATTTTACTCCAGTTAGACCAGATGTGTCTAGCACACATTCTAACTTCAGCATTTGATAGCAGTTCAACAATAGCTCCTTGAAAACCCTACAATAAAATACAATTCAAGAAAGAAAACACATTTTACAAATCTACAATTATCAAAGTAATAGACAATTAATTACCTTCTGCATATCTGACATTCAGTAAGACCATGTCCAGTACCCAATTGCAAGTCATCTTTCAAGTAGTTGATATAGAAGCTCTAGCTGAGTTTAGTCTCCTTGTCCATAACTGTCCAAGCTATAGGAAACATCTGATTGTTTCCATTCCTGCCAGCTGCTACAAGAAGTTCACCGTTACAATCACCCTTTAAGAAACATCCATCAAATCCTATTATTGTTCTACATCCTTATTTCCACCCCTTCTTCAATGCGTCCAAGCATACATAGAAGTATACAAACAAATTCTTTCCTGCTACGGTTCCTCTATCCATTTTTACCCGAACAGAACTATCAGGATTGGTTTGTTGTATAACTTCAACATAATCACATAGCCTTGCAAATTCCATATTCCAGTCACCCATGTTTTCTCTAAGAATCATCATCTTTGCCTTGTAACAAATTGTTCTATCCACATGCAGTCATAACTCCTCCATACACAATTTTTGTATTTCCCAAATCCTCAAAGATGGTTGTTTAGTTATTTCATCCTTGAATCTACTTGATAAGAACTTAGTTGTACACATTTTGTTCTTATTAGATGGTAAATATTTGTGTATAGGATGATAATTCTTAATGATTAAGTTACCAGATTCCCTATCAATAACATCATAGCACAACCATTTGCATTTTTCTTGGAATTTACATTTAGCTCACTCTATGAGCTTCATTAGGCCTTAACTTAATCTGATAAATTTTTTCAACAGTATATTTAGCTTAAGCATTTCTAAATTCCTTAGCATTCTCAGAAATTATTCCAAGTTCAAAATAGCAACACTATATTCATCATCATACACTTCTAAATTCCTTAGCATTCTCAGAAATTATTCCAAGTTCCAAATAGCAACACTATATTCATCATCATACCTGACCTTTTTGCTCTTTCTTCTTCCTGGTAGATCAACACCTCCAACAGCTTCTGCATCTAGGATATCAGTGCTATCATCACTATCACATTCTGAGCTATCAATGTACTTCACATCCCCTCCCAATTGGCCAACATATCTATCCTTCTTATTTACTCCAATATCTTCTAAGCCTCTGTCCACACCTGCCTCACCTATTGGTACTTCTTCAGTTACTATTTTTTTCTTCCTAAGATTAGGATTTCTTTTGTTTCTCCTTTCAGTCCTAAGGGATCTCAGTTTTTCATCGGCATCTGAATCATCTTCACTGGAATATCATCTACATTTGAGTCAGTACTAAGCAGATCTGATTTAGATTCATTATGATTTGTATCACCTCCATTCAAATTTAAATCATTATCCACAGTCCCCTCAGCATTAATACCCACAGATTCATCAACAGTGTCAGAACATGGTAAAAGAGAAGATGGAGCAGGTAATTCTTCTTCTAATTCATCAACTTCATGGACCACATACACATGAAACTCATCACTATCTACCAAGTCTTTCGCAAATTCTAACAGTTGAGTATCAGAAGTAACTTGAACTAATTCATCACCATCTTCACAGCAAAATGCCTTAACATTTGTGTACCCAAGTTCTTTAGTGTAGGAAAGAAACTCGACAAGACTAAAATGATCTTTATCTACGGCGACACCATATACGTCTACTTCTCTTTGGTAAGTAGGTTTAGGGTTTAAAAACAACACACCCTCCATGATGAAAACATGTTAAAATATAGTTGTCCATATCCCAACAAGGAGACCCACCCCCAACAAAAGGAATACCCAAAAAGCCCCTTACTTTATCAGCACCACTGAGATCAAAACCTAGATTAAAAATGAAAAAAAAAAAGCAGAATCAACAATAAAATACACCTTCTGCAAGAAAACAAAGGAAAAAACAGAGGTAGAAAACAAAATGGTGACAACCCAATACCTCGTCAACTTCACGTTGCACAGCCCGATACAACCTTAAGCATGCAAATGGTGAAACAAAATATAACAATGGTTATTACTAACAATGAATTGAAGGAAAAACAACGCAATACATGTGAAGGAAGAGACATCTAAGATTTTGGTCGGAGAAGAAGGGAAAACATACGAAGAAAGTTGAAAGAAGAAATTGGAAAGATGAATCGATTTTTCCTTTTTCTTTTATCCGATTTAATTTGTCTAATAATTTGAATAAAAATTACGTGTAAATAGGTTTAACAGTTGGCATAATATAATTTGCAAGTTAATGCACGTATAACGAATTGTGTTGCACGTGCCTATGGTCTACAGATGTTTGTGAAAAAAAAATTAAGTAACACATAGGAACCCTACGTTAGGTATTTAAAATGAAAACCCTCCAGTTGAAGTATCTAAGTGAAAGATTGTACCATGTTTAGGAGGTCACCGATGACTTCTGCCAAAGTGAAATAAGACATGAAAATATAAGCTACAAGTAGATTGAGGAGCTAGAGTTTAATGGAAAGTTAAGGCTTATAAGCACTTCACCAAAATTAAAAAGAACAATAAGAGCAATATCTTACCGCCTAAAGCAGGAAGAGTCATAATCAGTCTCTAGAAAACTAAATTAAAAAAGACTTACAAACTACTTAGAAATTATAAGAATCGTAATTATTTTTTTTTTTTAATCAAAAGTGTTTTGATTCATCTTGACACATGTACCATTCTCCCACACTATATAATCTTTAAAAAATAACAAAAAGAAGAAAGCAAAATGTCGTTAATCATTACAACATGACTTTAGGAACTTTTTTTGGAATCAAAACACTTAAAAAAATTGAAATACAATCATCATGATCATATATAAGTCTGAAAAGACCAACGCAAATGCAATACCCCCACCAATCTTTTAATATACGGTGAAGGACCAAGAATATTCATAATTTATTGTTAATAATTTAAAAATATTTTTTTTCTTATTTTTTGATTAAGATATATCTTTTATTTCGTATTTGATCAAAAAATATCTCTCTATCCATTTTTTATGTCTGAAAAAATATTTTTAATCTGGAAATATTTTTAATCTTTGTTATCTATCTATATATCTATCTATTTTATATTTAGAATTTTAATATTGATTAAATTTTTATTCAATAACAATTCACATTTTGTTATTTAACTAAATAAAATTTTAATTCTTTTTTCTTTTAATTGTTTGTGGTTGAAATCTTTTATTAAATATGCTCATGTAAAAAATATTAGTAGTCGGATTGCCAAATGTTCTCTTAAATTTAGTTAATATTTCCTAGCTCTAATAACATATTTTAACACAACTCACATTCTAATTAGTTTATTAAATTTTGTCATTTTTTTTAAAATTTATTTATAATTAAAAAATAATCAATACAAGGACATATCATTAACGTTATCAGAAGCCAACAAATAAGTAAGAGATCATAAAACCTACTCGCATCGGGTATTTATATTAATTCAATATATGTATGCCATGTGTTTAAATTTATTGTTTATTTTACTTAACCTTAAATGAATTACATAGTAATAAAAATTACTACATTTATTTAATATAAACATTCAATACAGATAAATTTTTTTGAGATCAATATATGATGCATCAAATGTCATTATGTTAGTAAAATCTCGAATTATGTTTATCGCTTTTTATTTAGTACTATTATTTATATTTGGGATAACGCCCAAGTACCCCCTCAACCTATGGCTGAAATCTCAGAGACACACTTATACTATACTAAGGTCCTATTACCCCCTGAACTTATTTTATTAAGAATTTTTTACCCCTTTTCGACCTACGTGGCACTATCTTGTGGGTCCAACGATGGTTGACTTTTTTTTTCAAACTAGTGTCACGTAAACTAAAAAGGGATAGAAAATTACTTATAAAATAAGTTCAGGAGGGTAATAAGACCTTAGTATAGTATAAGTGCGTCTCTAGAATTTCGAACATAGATTGAGGGTACTTATGCATTTTCCCTTTATATTTTTGGAAAGTTTGGTTATCCTTATTACAATGAAGTAATCGTAGAAAAGGATCTCCAATGCAATTTTTTTCCAGAAAAATTATAGATATTTTATTAGAGAATTTTCTACTTAAAATTTGGACCAGTAAATAAGTTTTTATTTTAGTGTTCAGGATAAATCTTTAAGTCTATAAATAGATTAAATTATTAATCAATCAAATTTTTGTCCTTTTTCTTTACTCTCTATTACTAAAAGAAAAAGAGTTTGGGATATTTGAATATGAGCTAATATTAAGAATTTAAATAAATAAAAAATTATCATTTAGAACAAATAAAGAATTAACAAATTAGCAAGGGAATTTAATTAAATTA